TTTGAAGTATTACAAATTCTCAATACTTTTCGAGATATCAAGTAAAAATTTTTGGCCCCTCTAGACCCCTAATTTTAGGGGTCAGCCCTTTTTTCGAGATATCATTTGAAAGATCTTAGAATTCTTCACAATTTTTGTTCTATATGTTTTAACAAAATATTTACAAGTAAAAAGATATAATAGAAAAAGTGTAAAAAAATTTTGAAACGCTCAATATGGCTTTTTTCAGACCATACCGAGCGTTAACGTGCAGTACTTCCGGTGAAAGTTAACAACACAATGCAAATCTACATTTGTTGCTCTATCTTCCAGACAAGGTTTCATCTTCCTGTGATGAGCGATTTTTAAGAAGAGCGACGGACAAAATGACCCTTAAAAATCACAAAATTGCGAAAATTTTCGAACCGGAAGTGACGTCATCAAAATGAAAAAAAATGCATCAAGTTTTTAATATGTTCTATCAGACCTGAAAGATTCATAAAAATCTAACGAGCCGTTTTCGAGAAATCGCGTGCACAAAATCGGGGAGAAAAAAAATAATAAGAACTAGACGAGCTTGTTGCAAAGCAACAAATAAGTCTTCCGTCTAATTCTGAAGACGATGATATCGAGATTGATAGACATTTACGGTTATGTGTGCAAAAAAACGAGCCATTTACAAATACTTCCGGCCTGACCGGAAGTGACGGTATTTTAACGACTTTAAATGATCTCTGCCTCTGCTATTTATTATTTTGAACAACTTTCCTTCTATGATGTTTAACAAATTGTCAACACTTTTTGAGATATCAGATTAAACGTTTTGGCCCCTCTGGATCCTTTAATTCAGGGGCCAGTCCTTTTTCATAGATATCATTTGAAAGATCATGCAATTCTACACTTCTTTTGTTCTTTATGTTTTATCAAAATATTTCTAGGTAAAAAGTTATCGTAGGAAAGGTGTTAGAAATTTTGAAATTCATAATTGGACTATTTTCGAGCCATAGCGAGCGCCGGCGCTTCGTACTTTCGGTAGTTGTGATATACAAAGGGTACTTCTCCAAAGGTTGCTCTAGCATCACTGAAAATTTCATGCTTCTGTGTTGAGTGCTTTTTGAGAAAACTGCCGGACAAAGTGACCCTCTAAAAATCACAAAATCGCAGAAAACTCCGAACCGGAAGTGACGTCATCAAAATAAAAAATTATATGTCTAGACTTTTTGATGTTCCGTCAGACCTGAAAGTTTCATGAAAATCGATCGAGCCGTTCTCGAGAAATCGCGCGTACAAAATCGGTAAGAAAAAAAAACAATAATAATAAAAATAGTGGAAAAGAAACCTAAGAAAAACAATAAGGTCTTCCACTGAAGACGGAAGACCTTAACTAGATACGATCTCGTTGCGAGCAACGAGTGGGTCTTCCGTCCGATTCTTGATAAGATGAGATAAGATTTTGATTGAGAATTTCATTCTAAAATAATGATAAAGATTGTGAAGAAGAACGATTTTGCCTCCATAATCTGTAAACAGACATTGAACATAAAGACTTAGAAATTCGACTTTTGTCCCTCACGGCCCCTAATATTAGGGATCAGCCCTTTTTTCTTCATAACATCTTAAAGCCCTCAGGATTTTGAACACTTCTTGTTCAACAACTATTTAGAGATTCTCTTTCGTTTTCGAGTTATTTGAAAAAGAAATATTTAGGGGCCAACCTTTCAACTCCTTAATGGGGACATTTAGCGAAAAATGAAAGGTTGCATATTGTTCAGAACATTATTTTGAACATCTTTTGTTCAATACTACTTATAAAAAAATTTCAAACTTCTGAGATATAAAGCGTCAAAGATTTAGCATTCTGGCCCCTTGTGGCCCCTTATTTTGCACCATACGACATTCAAAAAATAATAAATAGTTTTAGATTGTTGAGATAAACATCATTGCTTCAGTAATGTTTAACAAAATATTGACTGCTAAAGAGTTATCGATTAAAGATTTTTGGCCCCTCTCAGCCCTTAATTTGAGTGTCCAGCCCCTTTTTTCTGATTTCATCTTAAAGCTCTCGGGATTTTCAACACTTTTTGTTCAACATCTATTAAGAGATTCTCTTTCGTTTTCGAGTTATTTGCAAAAGATATATTTAGGGGCCACCCCTTCAACTCCTTTAAGGGGACGTATAGCGAAAAACTAAAGGTTGCATATTGTTCAGAACATTATTTTGAACATCTTTTGTTCAATATTGCTTATCAAAATATTTCAAATTTTTGAGATATAAAGCGTCAAATATTTAGCATTCCGGCCCCTTGTGGCCCCTAATTATGTATCATACGACATAAAAATCATAATATATAGTTGTAGATTGTTGAGATAAACATTCTTGCTTCAGTAATGTATAACAAAATATTAACTGCTAAAGAGTTATCGATTAAAGATTTTTGGCCCCTCTCGGCCCCTAATTTGAGTGCCCAGCCCCTTTTTCTTGATCTTTTCTTAAAGCTCTTAGGATTTTGAACACTTTTTGTTCAACAACTATTCAGAGATTCTCTTTCGTTTTCGAGTTATTTAAAACAGAAATATTTAGGGGCCAACCCTTCAACTCCTTAAAGGGGACGTATAGCGAAAAACTAAAGGTTGTATGTTGTTCAGAACATTATTTCGAACATCTTTTGTTCAATACTACTTATCAAAATATTTCCCACTTTTGAGATATAAAGCGTCAAAGATTTAGCGTTCTGGCCCCCTGTGGCCCCTAATTATGTAACATACGACATGAAAATTATATTATGCAGTTGTAGATTGTTGAGCTTAACATTTTTGCTTCTGTAATGTCTAACAAAATATTGACCGATAAAGAGTTATCGAAAAAAGACTTTTGGCCCCTATTGGCCCTTATTGTGATGAGTCAGCACTTTTTTCTTGATATCATATTAAAGATCTTGTCATTTTGCACAAATTATGTTCATTATGTTTTGACAAAATAATGATACTTTAAAAGATATGATGCAAAATGTCTCAAAAAATCAGTCATGATTCGTGTCCTAAATTTTGACCCCTACCGAGCTTCCATACTAGGCACTTCCGGAAAATTTCCTGACCATGTTGCAATATGGCAACATGTCCTCTATCATCCCTGAAAAAATCAGCTTTCTAGCTTTAGCCGTTTTTGAGTTCCATCACAGACATGGAGGTCATCAAAATTTCGATCAAAGGGCGATAACTCACGACCGGAAGTGAATTTCAAAAAAATGAAAAAAACGTATAAGGTTTAGATAAAGATACATCTTCTCCGAAATTTTCAAGAAAATCGGTCGAGCCATCTCCGAGAAATCTTCTGCACAAAAATTGTAAAGAAAAAAAAAGAATAATAATAATAATAATAATAAAAGTGAAAAAGAAACAATAGAATAATAGAAGGGTCTTCCGTTGGAGACGGAAGACCCTAAAAACAGTGGAAAAGAAACAAACGAATAACAAGAAGGTCTTCCGCTGAAGACGGAAGACCTTAATAAGAAAAGTGAAAAAGAAACCTAAGAATCACTAGAAGGTCTTCCGCTGAAGCCGGAAGACCTTAAAAATAGTGGAAAAGAAACCTAAGAAAAACAAGAAGGTCTTCCGCTGAAGACGGAAGACCTTAATTAGAGCCGAGTCCGTTGCTTTGCAACAAAGTCTTTTTTCCGATTTTCAGAAGCACTGCTTGAAAGGTTGCTAAATGAAAATGAAGTATTTGTTAAAGGCCTCTAGACCAAATATGATTTAGATCTGTTTAAAGCATTTTATGATGATAATCTGTTTTGCGAAAAAAACAAATTATGATGACTTCCGGTTTGAACGGAAGTGACCCCAATCGACAAAAAATTGAGTCTGATGTCTTGGCTGAATAATAATTAAATTTTATCTTAATATCTGCAGAAAAATGTCGTTTATAATAATTTCCTGCAACACCGGAAGTAATTACGGAAGTTGTAATAACGAAAATAGACAGGAAATACAATTGAACGTTCTCTGTTACATGTATAGTTAGATTCAAATTTAAAATATGTGAAAATACGCATTTTCGGACTACTTCCTGTTTGACCGGAAGTAACGTCATTTAACGTATTTTCTCTATTTTAATTGCTGCTTGTCATTTGAACAACTTTGCTTCTTTGATGCATTTCAAATTTTTAATTTTGGGGGGGGGGGGGGGTATTCGGAAAAAAAAAAACTCTCGGCCCTTCTAGATCTCTTATTTTAGGGGCCAGCTCCTTTTTAGCTCTCCTGAGCCAAAGGGTTAAAATTTGAGCTTTTCTGATCAAAATTTGTCCGTTGTCTGTCGTCGTTGTCATTGTTGTCGTAAACTTTTCACATTTTCATCTTCTCAAGAACCCTGGGCCAATTTCTACCAATTTGCCAGAAAGTATCCTTGGTAGAAGTGAATTCAACTTTGTCATCAGATCCTTGCGCAATGATAGACTGAAGTTGTATCTTAAGATCGTGAAGACATTAGTGAGGGTTTGTGCCTCTACAGTTTACGGTTTTGAAGGAGTAGTGATAACTAGGTTTTTCACACAACGCAACATCTTTTAAAAGGGTCAATCTTAGGGAACAAGAATGAAATCCTCGAAATAGTTTTAAGAGCGCGTATCAATGATGCAAAGACTTTTTGTATATATCTTGAAGGACAAAGGAATTGAATTTCTCATTTTTGGAATGAATTTTAAATTTAATAATAAATTTTAAGGTTAAAGGTCAATGACTCTTATGCAGTTGGTCCCATGTCTCTACGACTTCTCTTTTTGAAAATTTTTAATTATTTGTAAAATTTAAAAACTTTAAGGGGCAATAACTTATTGAAGGGGTCTACGAATCCTTTCGCAATGAATATATTGAAATATGCTCTCATTTAGTCGTAGACATTGTAAAGGTTTTGAACCTATGCAGTTTATGGTTTTGATAACAAGCATTTCTTGCATAAGGGGCAATAACTTCGAAAGGGAACAGAATTACCCGCTATGCTTATTTTATAATTGTGTATTTTTTACCATTGTTGAAGAAACCCCCAACGCTGCAGTTCTTAATAAAGGATGATCCACGGTTTCCTAAAAGAGAAAGAGAAAAAAATTAGTAATATTAATTAATAATAGTTACTATTGTTGCTACAGCAACAAAAAGGTCTTCCTTTCTTCTCTTTTTATCTGTATGAATGATTATTTACGAGTTGATGGTATCAACTCATGTTATGTTACTGGTAAGGGATTCCCCATATATCGAAACTTATCACATTTCGTTTGAGTATTCTGCGTTCAGGTTCTAGTATAATATTGGCTTATTACAATATACATGGTCTACAGAATAAAAATGTTGTTTTCTGATATGCTTTGAAGTGTTTATAAACTTAAATACTTATTATTTATTTTGGGGGGAATTTGTGTCAATCCGCGAGATCGAGAAAATCGTGCCAGGGGCATGCAGTCAAAAATTTGATATGTTGTACAAAGTTTTGATTATAAATCAATATATATTTCCTATTATAAGTAAGTATTTTGAAAACAGATTTTACGACGGCGTACTCGTGCCATTCTAACAATGTAGAATTTTTTTTAAATCGTTCGTACGATTTAATAAATCGTTTGTACAATTTAATAAATCGTTTGTACGATTTAATAAAACGTTTGTACGATTTATTAAATCGTTTGTACGATTTAATAAATCGTTTGTACGATTTAATAAATCGTTTGTACAATTTAAAAAATCGTTTGTACAATTTATTAAATCGTTTGTACAATTTATTAAATCGTTTGTTCAATTTAATAAATCATTTTTATAATTTAATAAATCGTTTGTACAATTTAATAAATCGTTTGTACAATTTAATAAATCGTTTGTACAATTTGTTTATTAAATCGTTTGTACAATTCATCAAATACCGTATAGCGGGTTTTTTTAGCGGGTGTAAAATTTGGCGTTTTGACTGTTCAAAGGTATGCAATAAATTTTGGCGGAATTTTTTTTGGCGGACCTAGATAAATTTTTCTGAACTTTCATACAGTACCTGATTTTTACCTAGCTCCTTTAAGAAGAGAGTGCGCCTGGAATATTACCTCCTTTTGTAAGACAGTGCGCTATCTATTTTTTACCTTAGACATGCAATAAAACACAATGTAAGAAACTATATTTATTTAATATCAAACAAGTTCAAATCTCAAACAAGCCTGGCATCATTAATAGTGGTTTAATGTGGCATCAATTTTCAGTAAGTGTAGCCAGGGGTAGCTCATCTTCAAGATGGGTTTTCAGTGCGTTTGTAATCCCCGCCTCACTAAAGCCACTGCGAATGATTTCAGGTTTATTCTTGATATGTTGAAACATTTGTACAAGCCACTTGGCAGATAGAGGCTTAAGTTTAGTAAGTGACAAATCGACGGGATTAACAACTGTTTCACTGTCCTCAACTTCGTTTAGCTGTGACACAATTTCCTCGGAATACCAATTCTCGAAAGACATCCGCAGATGATTCTTCACCGCTTTTTGAACGCTTACATCAAGACGCTGTAAACGATCTGTGCAGCAAGCTGGGACGAATACTACTTTCACATTGTGTTCCGCGAGGTATTCAAGAAACTTTTCACCCATCTGTGCGCGAAAGACATAAAAAATACACAAACTTTTCTGTCCGGATGGTAGGCCTTCACTTTTTTTAATTTTTCTAATGTACGGTAATATGATATTTTTTACATAATCCATTTGAGTATCGGCATTGGCCCAATGATTTTCTGAATGCGTGATATGCCATTCAGATGGGAACTTGAAATTTGGGTGGCACTTTTCTGTTTTACCAGCGTAATTAATTTGTGGTGAAAGGAAATCCCCTGAAATTATATACACTTCTAATTAGATTCGATCAGTAGATACTAATCAATAGGTAATTAATTTAAATAGACGTAAAAAAAACATACCTGATAGTGTCCCGGCAAAAACAGTGGTAATCTGTCGTTTGTCCCCCAAGCCTGAAATTTCAATGCGCTTGGATCCCTCCATAGCCATTGTCCAATTAGAGACTGGTACAATGTTTAAACCAGCATGGTCCCAGTTTATATAAGGTTCGAGGGGATATCATACTCGGTAACTGTTTTTTCAATCCGTGCCAGAAACTCTGTTTTAAGACCTTCAAAGTTCTCTACTTTTTCATTCTTGCATGCGGTGGAACCTCGCCGTTTCACAAAATTCCTGCGATTTAGAACTGACTTTGCCCAGTTCTTAGTTAACTCGATTGACCCTCCATTCTCTGCTAGCATTGTTTTATCTGTGCCATTAATTATTCCTTTCGCCGCTGCTAATACTACATTTGTATTTGTGAGTTTATTACAGCTTCGTTTTCCCGTAAAACATGAATGTATTTTTTAACCTTAGAATCTATATCACTGCCGACAAGGAATGGCCTACCACGTTTCTTTGGATGTATTTCTGTAACATCACTATCCAAGTCCAGTTTGCGTTTTCTAGATCTCTTAGAATCCTCATATTTCTACCTCATACCGCGCACGGTGCTTTCGTTTAGTGTTGGGAAGTCATTTTTGAATTTTCGAACTGTAGCTGCAGGGCCGTTTTCGAGAGCATACTTTCCTATGTCGGCACGATGTTTTGGAGAATAGGAAATATATTTTCCTCTTTTTTTCGGAGTTGATTTCGGCGAATCGCTACTTTGTACCAAATGTTCTCGAACATTTTCGTTAGCCTCATTTAATGCACTTGGTCAAAGCAGATCTGCGATTGCTGATTTTTCCTTTGGAACAGGAGACTTTAACTTAAAAAAATTCAAAATGCTCATCCTTCTATCACACACGTAGTACTGTGTGTCAGATACGTAGTATTGTGTGGTGAATACATATCACTGAATACCTATTTACTAGAGAGTTCAGATAAATACGCAGGAAGGATAACTCCCCTATAAGTTTTATGGCAGACTGATCGGAGTTATCTTTCTTGCGTTCAGTACAATACAGATGGGTACAAATTTAGCGATTAAACTATCAAAACGCTAAAATAAGCCAAAATTAGCACCCCGCTAAAAAAACCCGCTATACGGTAGTTTATACGATTTTTTTTAAATAGTTTGTACGTTTTTTGAAAAATCGTTTGAACAATTTAGGAAAAAGTTTGTACGATTTTTAAAAATAGTTTGTACGGTTTAGGAAATTGTTTGTACGATTTTTTTTAATCTTTTGAACAATCATCATTACAGTATAATAAATATTCCATATAAAACGAATCTTCTTTAAACTTAATAAAGAAAAAGCAATTAAATCTTTATATCCATAATGGTATATTTTATTTGCTTCAGTATACATGCATGTATACATTTAATAATTCTACAAATTCAGTGAGGGGGATCCGACTCCCTCCCCCCACCCCCACCCCCCACCCCCGAACTGCGCACGTTTTACTTTTTTCGTAAGCGGGGGAAACAAATTTTCTGAATTAGGTTGTTATATTTGTCAGAATATTAGCTTTTTTACTCATTTTTTTTATTTTTGTAATTTTATATTTATTAGTTTAGGATACCGGTATTAGCTAGTGATAGCATGTAATCTACATATAATTGTTGCTTTTAGATGTTTTAGTTTTATGTACGTACATGTATGATAAAATTTTCATTTTTTAAGCAGAAATATCAATCCATTGTTTATATTATGAAACAGTTCAGACAACATTGATCCTATATGTAATGTACGTAACCAAAGCTGTGAATTCCAACTCTCATTTTCATTCCCATTTTACAATATCCTATGTTCTTTACACTGTCTAATCCGATATCCTGTCTATTCCTATACAGAATTCATCACCCTGTGCATGCACTGTATTTATACATGTTTATATATATCGATGCAACCAAAACAATTAGAGAAAATCTTATGCATGAATACAGAAAGAAAAGATGAAGTTGAATTTGTGTAGATATCGATGAAAGATACAATATAATAAAATTGTTAATGAAAACCTGCGATGTATGTAAATTAGAAAAAAATACATACTGAATGATATTGTTTCGCTCTTTATAAAGAATTTTGGTGGTAAAGTTTTTATAACTGCTCAGTGCATAAATAAGCAAGTTGAAAAACTTACTGGTTTATATAAAATGCAGGAATTGAACCTTTCAAAGACATTCTACCCCCTTAAAATGTGCATTACAAGTCAAGAGAAAGTCGAAACATCAGTAGGGTCAAGATCTACGATGGAGAAAGTAAGTTAGCCTAGAGATGAGTGAAAATGGAGAAAAGATCTCTATCATTCTTAAACTGTCCTGTGCCTGCCTCCTGATTGCCACTGTTGATACATGTAATTTATATATATGTAATTGATCACTGATATGATACCTAATAGTTTATGATAACAGATCTCGTTATTGTTTGACAGATTCCTCGGGTAAATGGTGAAATAAATGCTGATTTCTTTTTCATACATTTCAATATATATAAAGACATTGAATCTTAAACATCATTTCTTTTCAATTCAATGACCAGGGATCATTGACACGAATATCCCTATAGAATATTTCTAGATCCGGTACATCGTCAAAAGAAAGAGGGCGTATAAGGCGTGTACAATCCCCCGCTCTGAGACAAAATGTTTCTCAATTTTCAAAATTTACAAAGAAGTTATATTTTTCTAAAATCATATTCTCAGTCATGTCATCTTCAAAATATTCTATTATTTTATTTTACTGAACGACTAATCATTTGATAATCTTTGTTTCAAAGTTGACAGTTAAGCATATTTAGTGGAAAATGGGTTTAATAGAGCTATAAAAAACGAATTTTGAACATGAATGGGTCAAGTCTCCATTCTTCGTAAACGCTTAAATGATGGAAATGTAAATGTGAAATCCATTTCATTTGTCCAAAAACCCATTCTATCTGAAAATCGAACTTTTCTGAAAAAATTTTCACTTCAACAAACCCGTCCATTTAAATCACACTGAAAGACATCAATAGTGCATACACTTCGTAGCGTAGTGGTTAAAGCGGTTGGTCTTGGATCAAACCTGCGCTATGGAGAGAGTTCGAATCATACATGAAGCTTTTTCTTTTTTTCAAATGAC